AAAAGGGTTAATTGAAAAATGGCAAAACATTGATGAAAGAGTAATAGAAAAAGGAATAAGCGTTTCATTTCGAATAAAATTGATATGGAGATTTCCATTCCAGATAAGCGATTCGAAAAATTAGAGCCTTTGAAAAATGTTTGAGAAAACTGTCAAATATAATTTATTTGCAAGTAAATGTACAGTGGGCATAGGTTACGTATCGTACATCATGAGGAAATCAACGATGATCAAGGCACTGAGCACATCGAGGAACGTTTGAATGCTCTGAAAAAATCTGAAGCTAGAATTATTCTCCTCTACAGTACGTTCAATGCAGCAAGGAAGATTTTTCAGGTTTTCCACTTTTTCTCACTCAATTTCGCATTCTTCATTTCGAACTACTCCACATTCACAGTGCAATGCAACTTTCTCTGTTGATCAATTCGAAAAGTCGCTCGTTTCAGCGTCGATTTTTTCAAAACATTCATCTCTCAAAGTCAAAAAGCAATGATCACATGCAATGGAATAAATTTTAAATTCCCTAATGAGGGAAACGTTTCGGAAATTTAATGACATAGCGATGCGAATTTTCAGGTAGCAAATGGCCTTGGTTTATTAAGCAGTAAATATCTTTGGATTGGAACACAATCGGTGAAAGGTTCGATGAGCAGTGCCACCTCACCGATCCAACCGGGAATGTTATCGATCAACTTTCACACTCTGTCAAATGCGATGTTTCCACCAACAGACGATGTTCTACCACTCATTATTGGTCTTGCTCCGAAGGTACGGTCGTCCTTCACCAAGTTGATGGGCATCTGAATGCCTCATGAGCATTATCGCTGGCAATGTGCTGTGCATCTGGAGTCATGAATCAAAATAATGCCCACAGGAAAATATCGTTTTGATCAGTGTTAACGAAAGTCCGTCTATAAACAATTCAATGGGCTTTGTCTTGTCAAATGATGAGAGAATTAAGGGCAAAGCAAATTCTTCGCACAATTTTACACTTTCTGATTTCGCATGACGACTAATTATTCCGTCAAAAATTTCAACTGTTGATTGCAGTTGTTCGGATTGGCCTTGAGTAAGCTATCGCTCAATGAAACATTTTCTGTTCAGTCGACATCGACGTGCGACAATAATGCTAGCGTGACATCATGGCGTGAAGGAGGAATTATTTACGAGTTAGTTGATGAAAACTGTTCTGTGAATTTCCCCGTAATTGTAAAAATTGCAATCAAATATAATGAGTTCCTTAAAAGTCGCGATAATTCATTGCAGTTGTCTACTTTGCCAGTGTTATTTTTTTGAGTTCAGTGGTTCGAATCAAATTTTGATATCACTTCAAACTAAGAATGAATGCCCAAAGATAATTTGCGCTTACAGTTCGGAATGTTCAGTTCCCTTCAAACTGCGGCAAGCGATAGTATAAAACTGAAGACAAAACATTCGGCCAGAAACAATCATTCAGCTGAAAACGTTGCAGTTTTTCCTCCTTTTAAGTTTTTCTGACCCAATCCTGATTAGTTTCGATCCCTGAAAATGATTACAGAACAATGAAGCAGAGCTTCATAAAAGGAAATCCATACCATTTAAAGGACGGTCTTGATTCATTTTTCTATACGTTCACGAAAGATGGCAAGCTCAAAGACTCATATTTGACCATATCGAACCTTCGAACAAAGCGAGCCAAGGATTTCAGAAAGGGAAATCTTGTTTGGGACAAGGTGAGAAAATTTTTTCTCAGTTTAATTTTTCAGCATTTTCCACAAACGTTCAAATGACATGGCAATGACATGTGCAATAGTCTTCTATCATAGTGAGAATAATGAGGAATAGATTCACTGTTATGATTATGAGAGCAACTGACAGTGTTCACTAAAGTGACACGATTATCTGTAACGATAGGGTGAGTTAAGCAGTTCGAATCACGCGAGAACTAATCAGTTCCCTAACTGTACTTTTTAGGTTGGCGAATTTACGAACAACGAGCTGCGGATGGACGATATCGAGTGGCCTGGTGGAAAGGCAAATCCACCGCAAGGAACCGCGGATAGTTTCCACGTTCGAGTGGTCACCCTGCATGAACCACCGTTCATTATCGTTTCCGATTTGGATCCGGAAAGTGGTTCATGCCCCGGGAATCAAGGCGCTATTTGCGATTGGGGTGTTGAAGAGTTCACAGACGATGGAGTCTTGAGGTGAACTCATTTCAACATTTACAATTCTTTATTCAGATCTTTTTCTAAGTTTAATTTTTCAGCATTTCCCACAAACTTTCGAATAGAAGTTGCTCGAAAACGTGGTGACAAGTTGCGTGTCACCATTAACTCGAGCAACTTCTAAATTGATGCTCAGATCCACTTTTGATTT